ATATCTTCATAAATGATTTATGAAGGGGATAAAAGAGGAACGCATCAAATTTGCAGATGACACCAATATAGCAGGAATAGCCAACATTCCAGAAGATAGGCTTAGGATACAGAAGGATCTCAACTGACTTGAACACTGGGCCCTATCTAACAAAATGAAATTCAATGGTGAAAAAAGTAAGGTTCTACATTTAGAGAAGAAAAAACAAATGCACAGGTATGGAATAAGTGGTACCTGGCTCAAGAGTAGTAACTGTGAGAGAATCTTGGAGACCTAGTGGACAATCACTTAAATATGAGCCAGCAGTGTGCTGCAGCTGCCAAAAAAAGAAAACAAAGTCCTACGCTGCATTAACAGAGGAACAGAATCAAGATCACATGAAGTGTTGGTACCACTTTATAATAAGGCCTTGGTAAATCCACACTGCATCCAGTTTTAGTAAAAAAAAATTCTTAAGACTCTAGAAAGAATGCAGAGAAGAGCAACAAAGAGAAGAGCAACAAAGATGACTAGGGAACTGGAAGCTAAAACATGAAGAATGGTTCCAGGAATTGGGTATATCTAGTTTAATAAAAATAAAGATTAGGGATGACATGATAGCAGTGTTCCAATATCTAAAGGGCTGCCACAAAGAAGAGGGGATAAACTTATTTTTCAAAGCACCTGAAGGCAGGACAAGCAGCAATGAATGGAATCTACTCAACAAGAGAACCAACCTAGAACTAAGATAAATTTCCTGATAGTTAGTACAATTAATCAAATTGTGGATGCTCCATTGCTGGAGATTTTTAAGAAGAGACTGAATGATCATTTATATGAAATGATATAAGATCTCCTGCTTGAGCAAGGGGTTGGACTAGAAAATGCCCAAGGAACCCTCCAACTCTGTTATTCTGTTGTTGTGGGCACAATAGGAGGAAGGTGTATTAGATACGATTGCTGACTTGAGTTATTTTTTAAAAATAATAAATGCAGGATAAACCCACAAATAAATAAATAAATAAATATTTGAAGCCTCCTGTTATAAGATAAATACATGGATTCTAAACTGTAGAGATCATTACACAAGGAAGGCTAAATATTTACTCCCTCTGGTATTTTATTCCCCAGAATAAAATGCATGCTTATACTACTTCTGTTGGAGAAATAGGTGGAGATCAAGGCCAGGAGAGTCTTTCCTAGATTCAGTTATGGCATTATCTAGAACAGGACATGCTGAAGATAGTCCTTCTTTCATTTGTTCAATTGCACCAGGAATATGCAATTCATCCTACATTGCGATAGCCTAGAAGACCATTGTAGCTGTCCTAAAAGCAGATACCTATGTACTTATTGGACAATCATGGCATTGCCATATAACATCTTTGTTATGGGAGCTACCCTAGTTACCAGTTTGCTTCAAAGTACATTTCAAGGTGGTGTTTATTACATACTGAACTCTTAATGACTTGGAATTTGAGTATCATACTGCCCACCCAATATGGATAAAGAGATAAAACCCACTGAAGGTCATGTCCTAACAGGGGATACAATAGGAAGGTACGCATTCTTGATGGCAAGTTTAATCTCCAATAAACACTTAAGCAGAAAGACAGAGGATGGATGGTGGTCAGGAAGGGGGTGCAAAAGATATGGCAAGAGAAGGCTCTTTAACACTATGTGAAACATGGTAATGGCTCTTTTCTAAACTTTTAATTTGTTTTCCAGTGTGTTTCTCTGGAGCTCCAACTATGGAAGAAACATTTGCCATGGTGGTGAGATTTATCTTAGATTACAGTTCTAGATTAATCATATCACAAATCTGGCAAATCTGGAACACCATATCAGAGTAATCTAGTCTGAAAAAAGGATTATGATATTTAACATATTGAATAGGCGAACAGGCGGCAATATAAATTCAATAAATGAATAAATAAACAAACATTGTCTTCTAAAAGAATGCACAGAAATGAGATAGAAAAAAATATGCTGCTATGGAATCAGACACTCAACTATTAATTTTCATTAAGGCTGGATATATCTTTTGCAGTGAAGTAGCTCTGCATTCACATCCATGTGGAGATCACAAGGAACAGCACCCAAGAAAAATATATCATTACAGTAATGATAAACAAAGAGATCCAATGCTTTCCCAACTATCTCTGTGAAACAATTTGTGCAGCCCTAGCTTTCACAACAGTATTTTGTCTTTTTTTCTGTTTAATCAGTTAAAGAGCCTTGGTGGCGCAGCAGACTAAAGTGCTGTTAAGTAGTACCAGCTGCCTGTAATTACTGCAAGTTTGAATCTCACCAGGCTCAAGGTTGACTCAGCCTTCCATCCTTTTGAGGTAGGTAAAAAGAGGACCCATATTGTGGGGGCAATAAGCTGACTTTGTATAAAAAAGAACACCGCTTACGGGGGGCCGAAAGCCCTACTAAGCAGGTATATACAAAAGTATGAAGGCTATTGCTTAACGCATTGTAAGCCGCCCTGAATCTCTGGAAAAGGGCGGCATATAAATCGAACCAATAAATAAATAAATAAATAAGATCTGTATTGGAGATATGAGTGTGAGACACAAGAAGATGAATGAAAATATTTACAAGACCTAGTATGTCATAAAAAGATATAAGAAAGCAGGAAATGTGGAGGCGGGGAAAGCAGCAGCAAAATAATCACAAACAGATGTGAAGCCATTCTTTATAATGTTATATAGCATATGTCACATTACAAGCTCCTTTGTAGTAAGTCCTTCATATTTTTTGGATACACTAAAGTCAAGAAATAGAAAAGTTGCTGGTATTTTAAATCATACATAACATTAAAGTCACAAATTGAAAATCTAAACTTTTAGAACCATGAATCATTTTATTAGTGATTACAAAAGAACGAGAGAAATGTAGGTGCAGTTTCTATTTACGTCTAGATATTACATTTTCCATTAATGATATGGGACTTTTACTGTCTACTTTTACTTTGATTAAAAAAATTACTAGAGGAATTAATTATTTAGTTGTACTAATTATGTCTTTTTCTTTTGTTTGCATTAGGAATGCTAATAGATGCTTGATTTTATTTAATAATCTTATGAAGGATAGTACTTTAAGATGAGGGGTTTCATCTGCTTAATTCATGCTGTTTTACTGAGCAGCAAAATGTCACAACTTTCCTTTTGTAACCATCTATTTTTTTTTCATTGCTGTTTTGTCTTTTTTTCCCTACATTTCTCCTGCACTTAAGAATTTATTTAATCTCAGAGATTATGGAAGACCATAAACTACATGATAGCATTCTGGACAGCAACTAAATTAATAACGGAAGAGTATATGTGCATGATTGTCTGTCTGTCTGTCTGTCTGTCCATCCGTCCATCTGTCCATCCGTCCATCCATCCATCCATCCATCCATCCATCATCTACCTCACTTTCTAAACTTTTAAAAATAATTTTATTGCACAAATTTTCTCCCCGGTATAGAATCAAGGGCTAGTGCGAAATAGTAATGTATGCTTGATCACATATTTATGTGGACAAAAGTGTAATGGAAGATACCCAATTACAAACAAAGGCTACATCCACACTTTACTATTATGGCAAAATTTCTTTGGAAATCTTCCTCCAGGATCCTCCAGGCTCCCACCCATTTAGTCATCCAAATCAATAAAGGGCTGGCTTTCCCCCCAGGCATTGAGATAGGGTGAATTTGGAGCCCAAGGAATGTATGGCTTGGTGGAATGCAGATTCAAACATGCAGTTTTAATGTGTTTGGATTATTATTGCTGTGAGCCATCTAGAATCTACAACATGGCCAACCATATGCGCCTTTTAAATAAATGAATGAATGAATGAATGAATGAATGAATATTTTCATTGAAATTGTATTAATACTTTTTCTGTTTACCATATAAAAAGTCAGGTAAGCCTTTCATAATATAAAAGAAAATTGGAAAGTGATCTGACACTTAAAAAGAAGTACATTGTATAGAATTGGTCTGATTGTGGATCCATGCAATGCCATGGTGGTGCAGGGCATAAGACAACAGGGAAATTCAGCACCTTGGACAGATCAATGGAAAAGAAGCTGGTTGACATTGACTTATGAAAAAATGTTGTCTCAGCAACATACCACAACCTTCAAAAAAATTTTTTTTTCCAATGCTGACTGATTTGAGGTTGTGATTTATTCTACTCCTTTTGAGGAACAGACTGCTTTTCATCAGGCAATTAACTGATCCTGCAGTTGGTGGTTTCTGATGTTAAGGACTATAAGGAGATGCTATGTGATTCTGAAGTGTCAAGGGATCGTATTGCACACACCTGGAGTAGCACAGGATGTCTTATTCTTCCCAGCACTATATAAAACCAAAGCATATTTACCTTGTGATATTATTAAATGTAACATTGGCACTGCATTTTTCTGAAAGGAAAAATAATTCAACTTTTAAATTATACCGTTTTCTAAAAATATGATTATAGATACATAGGAGGTTTTCTCCTGTCATCTATTTTTTATGAGAGGCAGATTACAGGTTTATAGAATTCTGTTATATGTAATGTTCAACAGAAAACTTCAGTGCTTTTCTCGACCCATTCTTATTCAATTTAATAAAAAATATTTTAAAAACGTGTAGATAATTACAAAATGGACAGAGACGTGTGTAAATGCATTGTATTTCATTTGACTCTAATTGCTTGAGCATTCTGTAATCTTACTGGCTTCACACAGTTCAGTGAATCCAAGGGAATGACTTTTCCATTAGAATTTATCACTTAGTTACAACAGGATCTGCAAGAAACTGTGTATGGAAGCTACTGTTTGAGCTATATATAGATGTCCACTGAAATAATGTAGGTGACTATTATTGATATAGATGACCCAGTATAAAGTTGCATTCAGACATTCCTGGGAAAAGGCAAGAGCTGTGGCAAGATAGAAAGCAAAACCCAGTGCTAAACTGGGAAACATGGCAGCAGTTTTGAACCTCCTTGACTGAACTGAATAACACAAAATGCTTGCTTACCTTACAGAGTTGTCATACAGCTTCAGTGAGTAAGCACTGCGTACCCTGAAAAGAAAAGAAAAAAAAAAGCACAGGCTTGAGATGAATAACCTCCCATTCTTCCTAACTTAAAATAATGTTAGAGTCATTAAGTAGCCTATAGTGAAGAAAAAAACTGGTTATTTCAATAGAAGTTCAAGTTACCTCTACATGTTATCATGGCAAATACAGATTTCACAGAAAGTCTCTTGGGCCCACTATTTCAGTTCCACCAGAGTGAAGAGATACTGAATAGAGCTGTTCCTGCTGAAGGCAAATGGGAGGAGAAAATGTTGGTCCATCCTCCTTCCTCCTTTCGATTCTGCTCCAGAATACCTCAACCGTACAAATCATGTTTTGTAGTAGAACTGATGGTGATTAGAAATACTTCTCTATTCGGCATCAGAACTCTCTGCTGGATTGGATGCCTTCTATGAACTGAAAGGGTACTTTCTTCTGGAAGAACATAGATTCTGAACCCAACACAGCATTTGCTGCTTAAATGCAAATGGTGTTTGGAGTGATGACATTGCCAAGGAGAATTAGTGAATGGGAAGCTGTAGTGTTAGCCTTTGGCTGACCAACTAACTCTTTTCTTTAAGCCAGGAATCCTTTCTTTTTGACTGGGACCTATTTTGTTACATTGATCTTTTCAATGTTTTCTTTTAGTCAAGAGCTATAACCAAGAAGACAGAATGTAAGCATAAGGGCATCCCTGGAAGATCTGATGCTGGACTTTCTCACATGTCTCCATTTCAGGGGCATTGGAGAGAGTTATGGAACATAGAACATATTTAAAGCATAATACACCTATTTTCCTCCATTTTCTGCCACTCAGATACACGTTCTTAATATTCTCTGGCAACTGAAAATGAATTGATAATGTTTTGCCCATATCTGCTTTAACCTTCCTTCAGTTATTTTATTCTTAATCTTAAAAAAGATCTCATAAAAATTACCTTTCTTCCTCAATGATAGTTGCAAGAAGGGCATGGAAGCTTCCTATTTCTTGCATAAAGAGAAACTTCATGGACATGGCATTTTCTTGGCAATCTTATGAAATGGCTTGCCAATACCTTTCTGGGCTTCCTGGGCCAGGCTGAAATTTCTTGGTGGACTTCCATACAGATACTAACCAGTTTTGACTTTACTTTGCATTTTGAAATCAGCCAAGCTGTCATCTAGCTCAGGGTTTTCCAATCTCAGCAACTTTACAATCTGTGGAGCCTCCCCCCCCGGGGAATAAGTCCACAAATCTTAAACTTGCTGAGTTTCAGAAACACTGAGCCAGTTGGCAAAATGTATTTTTCCAAGCTACATTTTAAACCTGTTTAATCAGATAATACTATATTTGAGGACATTCTTAGTCAAACTGTTATAAACTTTATAAAATATATTGTTCCTTTGGCCCATATAATGTAGCTCCCTGCAGGAGCTAATTAATTTCAATGAACTTTTCTAGTCCTATTTGCATGCTAAATTCCAGCCCGGGTATTTTAATAATCAGAAAAATAAATCTATGTGAATGACTAATTAGACAGTTTGACTATTTCTGGAACATTTACAGAAATGTTCCAGAAATTACATTGCAGAAATTTACATGATTATTTTTAATATTAAATCTTTACGTACAGATGTTCTCTGAAAATAATGTAGCTTAACCATTATTAAAATTTCCCTGTCTGGGTCAGGAAGACTACTGTTAAAAGCAGAAAGAGAGGAGTGGTTTGTAATCTGGAAATCAGATATATGTTCTGTAACTATTCATGAAAGACATAACTGGGGCGTGTGTCCAAATGTTTTCAGTTTATACAGACATAGATCTTTTGACCACTTCCCTCCCAATCTTATAAACATATGAAAGAAAAAAACGATTAAATGTCAGTGGTTTTCTTTTATAGAAAACAGTGAGTCTTTCTTTAACACAAAAGTAAGATTAGACAAAACACAGACCTTAGAAGCAATATGTATTCTATTTTATACACGGGCCAGATGGCTTTCTATTTTTTTAATGACCAAAGGACTGAATTTAATTCAGTCAAAACTTCATGGGCTAATTTCATGGGGCAAAGAAAAAACATTGAAAAATATTTCTAATTCCAGAAGTAGTTTTTTCCCCTTACTTTATATATAAGAGACATTTTAATTATTGCTATCATTGCTTGAGTTTGCAGAAAAGCTTAGCATTAAATTTGAACTTCTGTTATGTGAAGAAATATCTGGAACAGAAGATAGCAAATCTTCTGTTCCAGATATTTCTTCACATAACAGAAGTTCAAGCACAAATCCACATACTGTTTCCAATTATTTTACCCATCCAGCTTTTGACACAGTGAAGACAGATTGTAATTTAGTTAAAATGAGGGAAACAAACCACTTTATAATTTATTCCACCAGCAGTAGTTAAACATTCTGGTTTAACATTATGTCAGAATGTCATAAAGTGACCATTAGTCTATCCAACAATATATTACTTAAAATGTATGCGGCCATAGATTACAAAACTATTTAATTGGCTAGGGCAAAAAATCCTTTAAGTTAAACTCCTTTAGACTTTTAGTATTGCCAAAATCATTAGGAAATAATTCTATGACAGAGATCATTGTGTGTGTGGGTGTATACACATACACACACACATACACACATATACACGATGTGTACATCTAGTCAACTTTTGCTTTGATGAACAAAGAAATCTGATGTGGTACAAAGCAGTTTCATTTTCATCTACCTACAAATCCAACTATGGCCCATTCCATATATTATTTAATTAATGAATTTGCTACTGCCTACAGACTTAGTAGGAAGCTTCAGCTATTCTTAACTCTCTACCCAGGCAAAGTTTGTATTAAGTGTATTTTCAGCATCTGTTTTCCACATTCATAATTTTGCAAAGGGGCTGTGCAAAGATTTCCCCCTAGCCTTTTCCACATTTGCATTGCTGATTGCTGGAACCTGATAAATCAACAGGAGGACATCTGTGCAAGCAGGTCTCTGAACCATGAACCAATCCTGCCACCCAGCAAAATCTTCTTTGTTCCTTCCTGCTGTCACTTTCTCCCTTCCTTATTTTTTTTTTCCTTAAATGGAAACACCTAAACTAGAAATTTCCCATTTTCATACTCCTGTATATAGAAGCTCTTTCACTCTATCTCTTCCCCCCCCCCCTGTGGAGGGTAAGCTACTTTCCATCACATTTGAAGCCTGCACTGCCAATTAAAGCAGCCCAGCACTGCCAAGAAAGGTTTTTCTTTCACTCTCATTCCTTTTCTTCCTCCCCCCCCCCCACACTCCCAGCCATAAATCCTAAATGGAACATTCTTCCTTGATTCTTCTCAGCAGCAATTAGAATTGACTAGAGGAAGTTTTTTTTTTTTTTTAAAAAAAATCTTTATCTAACAATCCACCTAAAAATATAACAGGGAAGAGATCCTAAATGTCTTCTGTTAAAAATGGTAAGCTCAAAGCAGTTGGTAACGAAATGATTCCTTCTTTTAAGTAAAAGTGTAATTATTGGTTTCCTACTCTTGACAGCTAAATACAGCTGGTCAGGTCATCTTCGAATGAGACAGGCAAGGACTGCTGTTGTCAAGCAGCAGCACGTTTCCAGTGCCTCACATATAACCTAGCGTGTTTTGCTACTTAGAGCAGTTGTTCCCTGTGGATTAAGATACAACAGAGGCCCAAAGAAACTCTGAGCCCCTTGAGAGCAGAACTGTTAGCAGATCCACAAACAGCATGTGAAGGTTCTCCAGGACGAAGGGCTGCAGGCATTCAACCGGATGCCATGCAGATAGTTTTCTAGTCCCAGCTCACTTTTCAAGTATTGGAAGTCAGATTCCTGGCCACTTACACTTCCTCCTCAAACTTGAAAAAGTTAAGTAAGTAAACAAATATTCAACCACCATCCACAAATATTAGGCATTTCTCAACTTAATAATACATGAATGATTGTGGGTCACAGCTACAATTAAAAATAGCTGAAAGACATGCAGGCTCTCAAACTGGGATGTTTTTGTTTTTTTAAAAAAAACTAAATCTTTTAAGGAAACAAAGAGAGACATTAACAAGAAATAATTGTAAGAGAAATGGAAAACAAATCTTAAGTAAAAAGTTTGTGAAGTATTAATAGTCAATTTCTTAAGAAATATTGTTTCCTAATATTCAGAAAATTACTTTATTGCTGTCATTAACCAGCACAACCTAATACTGAATAACGCTTCCCTCTTCTCCCAGTTTTACTCTATGTTATAGAAATAATATTTTACTACATCATTCAGTATAGCATCTACTACAAAAGACATCAAAAAGAAAGAAAAGCCTGTAATCCTGCAGGCTGGTTCTACATGAATGCATTTCAATTAACAAAATCTTCAAACCCATATAAACATAACCTATTTGGGATAATGCTACAGATATAGGAATCTGGTTAGTCTTTTCTTTTTCACATACTTTCCTCATTTAAATGTTAATTCAGTCAATATGGGCACAGTGGAGAGGCATGCATTCCAATCATAAATGATTCTCAGAATCCCAAAGAATCAAGTTAGTCTCACAATGCTCAATCTTTAGTGGCTTCAAGCAAGCAACATGCAAACCTAGAAAAGATTACCTTCAGTCTAAAACTCTTCTTCGTGTAGCCCAGACTCCAACGCAGAAGCAATGCGCCCCCCAACTCTGCCTCCTACATATGTAGCAACATGTTAAAAAGTCATTTCTAGTTGATCCAATTCTTGGAATTATCAGATTCTTGCCTGCTCTGATACTTTCTGAGTCTATATGCACAGCAACAGATCACTACCTAATTTGGCTGCCAAGCCTATTACACTGAACAGACAATGCCTTCTCTGTCAGAACAGAGAATGAATAGTATCACAAGGACACTCCTCTCATGTACAGATCTGAACTTCTTTCTCCTCCTTCTTTCAAAGCAATCTAAGTAGGGTGAGAACGGATGGGAAAAAATCACGGATATCTGTACTATGATGCTCCCTATTCCTCAAAGGAAATAATTATTACTAAAAGGG